GGGGGCTGGTTGTGGTGCGGCCCTAGGGCCGGTCCTGGAGCTTGGGCTTGGATACTGATCCGTCTGGCGTTCACTCTCTTGATTGAGAGTGTAACGCCGTTCGGCAGTGTTTGCTTCACTGGCCGGCGTTGTCCTTCGTCACAAAACTGAAATTGTCCATAATTCTTAATCACACTTAAACATAAAGAGATTTGTCCATTGTCCATTAAATGAAAAGAAACCAAAACTGAAATTGTCCATAGTTCTTAACTATAATTAAACATAAAGAGTTTGTTACAAAAGAGAATTCAAAATATATGGTCTTTAACGCAAAAATAAACTGTTCACTTTTTTTTTTTATAACGCATAAAAGTAAATTAAAAACACTACACTGTTTGTCTAAAAAAAAAAAAAAAAAAAATCAAAAGTCTTTAATGTTATACTGTGGAAGAAGAGAAACGTCACAAACACACACCTTATCAGTAACACATATAACTAATCTTTAATCAAAAAATGCGTCTATCGCGCGTTCGGTTAAGCATAGTAACCGTAACGGATCTTGAGGGTCTACGGCGGGGATCTCAATGACCGGGTCCTCCACCTCCGGGATCACCTCCCACGACATATCGGCTTCTGCTCGAGTCGGTGATTGCGGATATTCGTGGATAGGTCGATGTTCCGCCGCTTCCCTCTGTACGAGGCGACTCGCACCAACACCCCCAGATGGTGTTTAGGTCCTCTGGTTCTTTTTAGAGGCCCTTGTTTGGATCTCAGTTCCTCTGCGGTACCTCCCGCCCTGAGGGGATTTTCAGCTCCCCGCCTCGACGGTCCGGTAAGCGGATGGAGCAGCGGGTAAATGTGCCAGATCCAAACCTATCTGTGTTGGCCGCGAGATCATCGCCCATTTCGCGTACGACTGCTCACACTTGTCGGACATTTCGGATAATTGATTCTGTGGTAATTGGTGATAATGTAATTACCTATGACATATATCTCCCCGAGCTCCTGCGGGGAGATGCCCAACTTTGGTATCGCAACGTGTCCCGCAAGGTCACCTCCTAGGATGAACTCCGTCACCGACTCTGAAGCTTCTTCCTACCAGCCGCTGAGAGAACCCGCCTGGACCTGCAGATCACCAACCGTCAACAACCGTGACGCAGCAATATCTTCTCCCGTAAGGCTCTGGTAACGGCTGGTGCGGTGGCCTGGTGGAGGGGATGGAGTTCCACCCATTTCGAGAATTTATCCTGCATCACGAGCAGCACGGTGTGTCCCTTTTTGGCGCGGGGTAGTGGTCCTACGAGGTCAAGCGAAACCACGGCCCAAGGATCCTCAGCTGGAGTGGTCCTCATCTTGCCCGCTGGAGCTCTCTGCAGCGCTTTGTATTCTTGACAGCTTTGACAGTTCCGAACATAACGAGCGGCGTCCTGGAACATACCCGGCCAGTAGTATCGCTGGGCTAAGCGGGCAATGGTCTTGCTTATCCCCAGATGTCCGGCGGTGGGTGCGTCGTGGTTGGCCCTGAGGATGGCTTCTCGGTCGGTCTTGGGAACGCACAGTTTCCAATCCTGGTTCGGGTGAAGACCGGTGGGCTCCGGAAAATATCGGTACAGGTGCTCGTCCCGCCAGCGGTACTCAGGATGCTGCTCCGGGTCGTTTCGTACGGCTTGGCTGGTTCGGCTGTACCAGGAGTCTGGCGGAGTGCTCTCGACGGCGTCCACTTCTTCAGGTTGTTTGGGAGGCGGTGCTGAGGCGGCGTTGCAAGGTCAAGCTGGAGGTCAGCGCATTTTGCCCAGGAGCCTCTCCTTACGTCGTGACGCAGCCTCTCGGGCCAAGACCCTTTGGTTGAGAGCATCCATTCTCCACGCATGGAACACATACGCGAGGGGCGGCGGATGGGGGGTGGGGATAGTCTTCCACAACAGCGAGCGATGGCCTAGCGCAGGGGGACTATATCCATCGACAGGAAAGCCTGACGGGTTGCCGCCACCCTCCGCCCTTGTGGCGGGGGCGGGAGACAGTTTTAGTGGATTTCTGTCTTCCTAAACCAAAAAGAAAAAAAAAAGTATGTAAAACCCGCGCCGCCACCGCCGCCATATTGTAATAACGATCGTGTATAACACCATTCATTGTATATTCTAGGAACCGAAGACCGTGGAAGGACCGGCTACTCCACCCCCGGAGATTAATAATAATAAAGTATAGCTTAGAGTTAACCCCAGTGTTCTCTTTTCACCCGCGACTAGTCCCCTTCCTTCCGCGATCGGCCCCCTCGCGACGATCCTGGCGCGCTGAAGCGTCCGACACAAGGGGGCCCGTGAGCCGCCGCGTTGTCTAGCAACGAAATTTTTGCTTTAAGATATATTTAGTTGGAATACTTTTGAAATAATACGATCTGTATATGTATTATAGCCTTAATTTCAAATCGAATTTCATTCAAAAATATTACCCATAGGATGTCACGAAGGAAATTTGATAATTCATCAGATGAATCTGATATACAATACTATCGAAGAAAAAGGCCACGACCTATTTGCTATACTTCAGATGAGAATATGTCAGGACAAGAATTTAGTATCGACAACTCGTGCATTAAACTTTCTAATTTACATTTGTCTCAAAATACAATGTTCTAAGAAGCAGAATGGCACGTAATACAAACAACACAAACGGAAAAAGAAGTGACAGAAGAAGTTCGTGGGCTAGACGCGGAACTTCTAATCGAAAACATTAATTGCAATGATCCCATGGAAATATATAAACTATTCGTAACCGACAGCATAATTCAATTTATGGTCCAACAAACAAACAAATATGCTATGCAAAATAGCACTGCTAAAAAAACAAAAAAACATCAGAGTTCCTGGATACCTGTTTCAATAGGCAAAATGAAGGCTTTTCTCGGTGTATTATTAATTATGGGTGTCGTCCAAATGCCAAACATTAGATTATATTGGTCTAAGAACAGTATAGCTTAGAGTAATTAACAGTAACGGCAACGCTCGTATAAAACGGGTCATGAAGCGCGATCGTTTCTTGTCCATTTTGCAGTATTTACATTTTGCCGATAATAAAACATGCAGAGTTGAGGATCCCTTGTACAAAATTAGAGATATTATGAAAGAAATTCTTTTGGCGTTCAAGAGTACTGTCAAACCGGGGAAAACTGTTGTAATAGATGAGAGCATGATTTTATGGCGTGGACGCTTGCGTTTCCGCCAATACATAAAAGGAAAACGTCATAAATATGGGATAAAACTGTACAAGTTAAGTTTACCAAACGGTTATACGTATGATTTCAATCTATATAGCGGAAAAAACTCAATAGCTTTAACCCTTTGCACTCGTATGTCCACTCTCAGCCACCAAAGCCTTTTTACCGTTCCGCTCGTATGTCTGCTCTCAGCCACCACAGCAAGGAACTATACGAATCGTATACTGTATGCATTCATGTATCAGATTTCACTTTTCCTATACGAAACTCAATGCCTAAGGAACCTATTCACGAACTAATACAGTGCTCCATCGACTGGAGATAACGAAATCCAATCTAAACAAATGTTGTCACCCAGTGCTCGCCATGCAAGACGCAGCGGCGAGTCAGTCCGCTTTTCAACCTAATGAAATCGACAACGTTCAGCAATACCTCGTAGAATTCCAAAGAACATTTTATAAATTGTATTTAACTGTAATTAGACATTCTCTCTTCTTAAAATATTCCAAAATTATTCCCCAAAATGGCAAAAAGAAAGTTACCGCAAGAAGTGTTCGGTGAAACTGACGATAGTGATGAAGACTTTTATTTTGGTCTCCCGAATACTGATTCTGATAGAGAAAGTGATAACTATTGCAGTGACTCTGATAGTGACATAGTTCCCGTGAAGCGACAAGTAAGGCAGTTAACAATATGCAGCGACAGTGAAAGAGAAGATAATGATGAAAATGAGAATAGTAATATAAACGAATTTACTACTTGGAGAGACGTTACGTACACAGATCAGCCACAATCAAAAACTAATTTTTCGACTGGATCGAAGACTGTTGGACCGAATGTACCCTTGAATTGCACGGAACCTATCGACTTTTTTAGACTCTTCTTCACAGACACACTGCTTGAAAAAATTGTAGTAGAGACAAATAAATATGCCCAAAATAAAATAGAAGAGCAGAGCTTATCAACTCGATCAACGTGGAATAAGTGGATCGATGTGACGAAGGAGGAGTTAACAGCTTTTTTGGGTGTAGTCCTGAACATGGGTACTATACCAGTTCCTAACATGCAATATTATTGGATTAAGGATTATATTGGAAACATACCATTTTTTAGAGATACGTTTCGGAGGGAAAGATTTTTTCAAATATTTTGGATGTTACATCTAAATGAAAATGTTTCCACAAATATAATAGAAATGTATCAACGAAAATCCAAAAAGTGAGCAACTTTCTGGATTATATTGATGACAAGTTCCGAGCGTATTTTACACCGAGAAATATCCATCGATGAGTTTGTTGTGAAATTCAAGGGCAAAATTAGCTTTATTACACACTTGAATCTATCGTCTTTCTGGATGTGGAAGCTCTCAAATCTCACGTTTACAAGATTTTTCTGTTTCTGAGTACAGTAAATATTCGATATGTGCACCATTCTCGGGTCTGAACTGGTGCAGATATCGTGCAGTTCCTATATTTCGAGCGAAGGAGACTGAACGTAAACAAACAGTGACCTACCAGAAGGGCACTCCTAAGGCAAGAATAAAACTTTTTTATTTTTTATTTTTTTTTTTTCCAAGCTTTTTCCATCATGTTTGTGACATTTTTCTCATTAAAATGAAACCAAACACTATACTTCGGAACATATTTGCTTGTAATTTCAAATGTTACGCGTACATCGATGACTTTACTCTAATAAGATATTGCAAGTAAATATAACTCGAATTACGTCGTGTTTGGTCTCATTTTAATCAGGAAAATGTCACGAACATGATAGAGAAAGTTTTATAAAAATAAAATTTGATAAAAAATAAAAAAGTTAGCAACGTATTAGGATTGTGAGCAATTGAATAGACTTTTGATGTTTGCCGACTGCTACGATCGTAGCGTCTCTTTCTTTTTGACTCGCTATCCTCTTCGACGTGAGAAATTTTTATCGTCAATTAAACCAGTAAATATAGCCCAAATTATGTCGTGTTTGGTCT